CCAGGAGCTGGGGGATGCTCTCAGGGCCTGGCACAGGCTTGCAGTGCTGCCCTGCACCGTCAGCAGCTGAGAGCGCTGGAGGGGAAAGAGGGCTGCAAAAGGACCCAACATAATCCCCTCAGAGCATGCACAGCATGGGTTTTTAATCCAAGAGCCATATTTAACCTGAAATTAAGAGCGGGAATCAGGTATATCATCACTTGATCCTGTCACTCTGCTTTCTTGGTTCTCAGCACAAGGAAGGGAGAGAGGAAGGAATTAGCAATGTGTGAAGAAGGGTGTTAAGCAGGAAATCCTGGGAGTTGCTAAAATGTCAGACAAGATTTTTCTCTGTTGGCTCCAAACCCTCTTTTTTCAGTACCTATTTAGGTCTGCCCTACAGCCTGCAGGAGAATGGCCATTGCAGGAGATATTTACTGGCGGTAACTTTAATTCTTCTGTTTTGCAGGGGCACAAGAGGAAAAACTGGAAGGTGAGGAGATTTGTTTTGAGAGCTGATCCTGCCTTTTTGCACTACTATGACCCCACTAAGGTATGTGAGTGGGGAGTTACTACCCCCAGAAATCCTCTTACAGACCTAAACATGATAAGGAAAATACAGTTACGCTGTAAATGCTTCTCTCACCCAAATCTCCTTCTGGGTTCCTCTATCCATTTCCTGGGGAATAAGACCTCTCTGGTCTTACCTTGGGAGGTTGTCCTTGTAGGATTTTCTATCCCTGCATCTTCCCTCCTGTCTTTGCCCCAGTGAGATTCCTTTTCCTTAGTTGAGGGGCAGCAGCCTTCTTGGGATTGGTCTTTTGCTATACCCACACAGTCTGGGACCATGCTCCTGCAGGGATTCTTCCTGGGCTGTGATCTTTCTGGGCTGACATCCCACCACTTGAGGGTCATACTGCTACTGGGATTTTTTTATGTTCTTATTCCAACATTTAATAGGATCTCCTTGATGCCAAAGAATTTATAGGATTTTCTGCTACTCAGTTTTAAACTTACTCAGGGAATAGTAGAATTTATCTTCATGAATATAATAATCACTCTGAGCAACCCAGAAGGGCATGTGGCTCCATCAGCCCCAGATGCATAGGGTACCACAAAGCCCAACAGGTTGCTAAGAGAACGTCTATAGAAATGTTTTATGTGACTTTTAAAGAAAACACAAACAACATAACAGTGAAAAGAGCTTATGGAGCTGGTTCATTTTTTTGTTGCCTCTTTCTTTGTGTGGTTGTTTTGGGTTTTTTTTTGCACTGCAACTTGCCATTGTAATGAACCTGAAGATCAGACAAGAGAGACAGCTTACGAGTGAAAACAGTCAATTTTTTTCCCATACAGTCTCAGTGAAAAGCAGCAAGTTAAACTTTGCAGAAATACATACTTTTTTTTTTTAATACGGGTTGTTATTGACAAGACTACATGTAAGTTTGAAATGTGATTCTTAGCCTACCTTTGTGCTTGTAATTGATCTCCACCATTCCCAACTATAGCAGAGAAACATCTGAGACTGAAACAAAATAGTAATGCATTTAATTATATGTCCTAATTGACTTCTTTTGTGACATGGATGTTTTAGATCTGGAAAAACTGACATTACATCCCTACCTTCATAAAAATAATTTATGTACTCTGGGAATTTATTCTAATGATGATATTTTCCCGATAAGCCTCATTTCCTTTTTCTTTGCAGGAAGAGAACAGGCCAGTAGGTGGATTTTCTCTTCGTGGCTGTCTTGTCTCAGCTCTGGAGGACAACGGAGTCCCAGCAGGTAAGCAGGACCCTCTAAACTTATATACATACATACATACATATTTACACCATAGCAATACAGTCTTTGGGTGTGGATTTGTGTGTATGGCTGTTGGTATACACAAGTGGGCTGGCCTTTCCTCTCCCCTTGCAAGCAAGGGAAGAGGCGTATCATGAAAAATCCCCATACTGCTGGGTTGTCCATACCAGAGGGGACTTTTTTAGTGTTATTTCCACTTATCTTGGGCTTCCCTCAGTCATATGACCTCTGAGACAGTCCTAAGATACTGATTAATATTCCAGAGTTAACAGACAAAGAGGAAACACTTTCTTTTTGGATGTTGTATAACTCAAAGTCTTGACGCATCCCCTGATGCCATCCCTGTTCTGTGTGTCCTCTCTGCTTATGCTATTACCTTTTCCTTTTTGATCTGCTAGAACCCAAATGTAGGGGAGACATAAAGACAACAATACAAAAAACAGTTCTGCTCATGAATATGCTTAGCTTAGGCATTTGCAGCAGCCCCATAGATAAGTGTTTCTGCTGTTAAAGCAATTTGTTTTATGGCAGTAAGCACAATGTGTGGATCTCAAATAGGGAGCATCTTTCTAAAGACAAAAGAAAGGGTCTGAAAAAGATATGGTCCATGGTGGGGGTATGATGAACAATAGAGCTGCTTGCTAAGAGGAACTTGAAGATGGGCAGGAGCAAATCTAATCTACTGGTAGGGAGTTCATCCCTCCATTGTATAATTCAAGTAAGATTCTCCATCTGAACAGAGGCTATTTTATATATAATGCATAGTACACAGTAGTTCATACAGTCTATGTGAGGGGTCTCTCTGCTATATCTGCTATATCTTTATTTTTCAGAAGAAAATCAAAGACACAAGAGCTTTAGATGTCTTATCCGTATTGAAATGGAAAGGTCTGATACCCTAATTCAGGAAATTCAAATTCTTCCCTATGAAGCTTCATATCTACTACAAAGCATTTCTCTGTGCACCTTCCTGATTTGTCATATTCTTTTTTCTCTGCAGGAGTGAAGGGCAATGTGCAAGGCAACCTCTTCAAAATCATCACTAAAAATGACATTCATTATTATATCCAGGCCAGCTCCAAGGCAGAGCGAGCACAGTGGATTGAGGCAATCAAACCACTGACATGAGTAAGGTGCCAAATGACACCATTTGTCTCCATGCCAAATAACAAATCACATTTGTGACCAAGTTTCCTGCTCTCATTGTCTGGGAGTGTTGTTTTTCCCTTAAATAGTCTACTTTTGTTATTTGTATTGCCATAGCACCTAGCAATTCCTGGCAGACCAGCATCCGAGGTGCCTAGGAGTCATGTAGATCCAGAATAATTCCCCACCAAGAACTTACCATCTAACCAAGAGACAAAAGACAACCGGTGGATACAGACAAATGGGGCTTTACAAAGAAACAATGAGATGTAATATTCCACTATGGAAGAAAAGACTTCTTTTGTACAAGTATTCAGTCTGTATCTGACAGATCCAGGTGGTGCTTTATCCTAAAGCAGAAATGTCTTGCTCCTTTCCCCTTTATAAAGGGGCTCATAAACTTAGTTAAGACTGTCTGAATCAAAGTCATGAAAGGTCCTGGTGTCTGAGGCAGCCTTTCTTGGTATACGGCAAGAGTCTTGTGCTAAGCTGCAATCCAGCTGCCAGGATAATCACTATTGCGAAACAAACCAGGGTCTGTCTGCCCATCCGTCTGCTCTACCATTTGGTTCTCTGTTAGGCTGGAAAAGACCAAAGGATCCTCCTCTCCAGTATATACATTATTCTTGTGCTGGTAATGACCCATAGCAGTACAGGATCCTGAGTATCAAATCAGACCAGTGGCAGTTATTCTAGACAATCACTGGTGCTGAATATATTGGAAGAAATCACTCAGCCAATAAAAGCAAGACTTTTCCTCTTGATTATCACCATGAGTCCATTCATGTCGAGCACCATGGAGAACTCTAATAGCGGTTCTGACTATTGCTTTTTTCTATTTTAAGCCATTATATTTTCCATTATTTGTCTAGTAAACTTGACTTTGATATTATTATATATAAAAAAAAAGTTCAGTGCATTTGAATCTCCTGTGCTCTTTAGACATGATTTTTCTCAGAGGGCAGTTTGAATATATGAAAATAATGTTTTCACACACTGTAAATTTAGATTTATATAGAAACTGAGACATTCTCCAGCACACCAGAGGGTGGAATGGAATGTATGAGATGATTAAAACACCCAACCAGCCTGCTCATATACAATTTTCATAAAATTCTTTGTGTTATCTGAATACCTGTATCAGACAGCCAAATTCTGCAGAGCCTCCAAAAGCCCTCTGAAGACAGCATGCTCTTTATCTTCCCTGAAGTCACAGAGAAATTTGATAGCCCTCTATCCACAGAACCACCTCTTCGCAGATATTTTTGTTCTCCCAGTTATACACTAAAAAAAAGTCTCTTCATCTAGAGACTTTCCCCTTCATCCTGTTACAACCAACCAATCATAACAAAGCCAAAGACAGCAGCTATGATATATGCTTATACATGTATTAGAATAGCCATTTATTTAAGACTTTTTTCTAAATCTACAGCATTGAACCAACAACACAACACTCACGTGCATTCAAATATTTAACAGAGCTAAACAAGTTTGCCAGAAGATGCAATTTTAATTAGATACAAGAATGGGCAATGCAGTTTCAGCTACAGATACCATTTCCTAGGGCTGGTCCAGAGAAGACTGTGAAATCCACAGGTGTTGAAACCTTTCAATTCACGAGAATGCTACCTGCAAGAGACCGGGATGCTAGTAAGGCCTTTATTGCTCTGTACTGGGAAGCACAGGTGGCTTTGTGCCGACTGAGCAGAGCTTCCAAGAAAAGCAATTCCCTCCTGATAATGTGAGCCTTGCTGGGTCTCACCAGGCTCCCTTATTCACTTATAAGAAAATCTCCTGCTTCTCTTTTCTCAGTCCCACCACCTACATACTGCCCAGGTCTAGTCACAAGGGTAAAAGAGCCACCCTAGGACAGAGGACTGAGCTCTGCCAGCTGGCATGCCTGGGGGGTTAGGAGACCTGGAGGATGTGAGATACTGCACAACATCATAAACCTTGCAGTTTAGAAGGTGAAAAGAGCATCCCAGCAAAGGCTCTCTGATTTACCTGGACCAGCCACATTTACCTGCACATTTACTCTGATTTACCTGCACCAGCAGTTGCTGAGTGTGTATGAGGAAAAAAAGTGTATCTTTCAAACACATCACCAAATTAAAAAAATACACTTCCCATTCTCCACAATCAGCCAGGGGAAAAAGATAAAACATTTCTCAGACAGGAGAAAGTACATTTGCCTCTGTCCCCTGGTGATATTGTGGTCTCCTTTTTTTTTCAAGCCACTTTGGTAAGCTTGATGTCCCCCGAGATCTGCAAAGCTTTCACCAAGTTCAGGGGCTGAATGCGGTGAGTGAAGTCACAGAGCTGCCGTCCATCAAGCAAGACTCGTATTTGCTGGTGTTCACATAAGAGCTCCATCTGCAATGGAAAAGGACAGGGGAGGGTGTTAGAGATCATCAGCAGAGTTGATTTCACCAGCATGGACTTAGAACCCCATGTGATGGGGATAGTGAAGCACAAAGTCTACCGGTTCTTCTGAAATGCCCCTGATAAACAACCTACCCTCTGCTGAGATGATATTATAAAGCTCCTTATAGTGAGTTCTCTCACTAAGACTGGAGAAAGGAATGGATCTCTCCCATCAGGGCTTGAACTGTTGCTCTCTGTGCCATAATAGACTAGTTAACCTGGCAATGTCAATAGTTAGCTATTTGTGGTCATATATGTAGCCTTCAGCCTTTCTCCCCTCCTTTTCTCCACCCCATTTATTACCTTAAATTACCTTAAATTACCTTAAATGTGTCGCCTGCTGTAAATGGGAAGTAGGGGATAGTCTTCTCCTCTCTTCCCCATTTCCCAGCAATTCGTGCATTTCGGGTGATGGATTTGTCACTAAAATTAACTGTAAATAACAGCCCAACATCTTTGTTTGCATCCACTGGATCACAGAGCAGAGTCACTGAAAAGCTGAAAAAACAATGAAATGACTAGGACTTTCAGAAATGTGAAAGGACATGGTGAACACAGCAGATGCCTATAAAGACTACAGACAGCCATTGATTTCTTGTCAGACTGAAACACGGGACTTCTACAGACTTAGAAGCTGCAGAAAGGGATGAGAACAAGCTGGTCTTTGTTTCTCCTGCAGTTTCCAATAGGATGCTAGTGACTTCTGATGTTGCTTTCCCTCTTGTGACTGAAATCATACCAACATTTGTGCATGAGTCAATTTTAATTTGTGTCCTAAAAGAGGTTAGGGCAATCTCTTTACGAGTGGAAGCACTGGAGTTGATCACTGTAGATGCAAAAAAGTGTAATAAACACAGTTGTTGTCATCCAGATTAAATACAGCAATGAGCCTGCAGCCCCCAGCAGACAACCAAGATGCAGGTTCAGAATTGCACCTTTTCCTGGAGGAGAAATGCCCCTTGTGTGCCCCCTCCAGTTCACATTAGATAAGGGCAAGGAGTAGAAAAATCCTGCCAGTGCAGTCAGAAAGGCTGAACAGTGAATTCTTTCTTGCCCTTTTAATCTTAGTCTAAGAGCAGGAAAATTATATAAAGCCATAAATTATGAATCTGTTTGATTTTCTTCCTCCAAAGAGCACAGACCCTCAAGAAATCTTTTGAATTTAGAAGACAGGTAAGCATGTTGTATGACAGGGTGAAGCCCCCACCAGCCCTTTCGCCTACCTCTTGGGGTTGGAGTGCACCATTCCTATCACTGTGAGCTTCATGGCTGGTCTCAGGCCACCTTTAATTTCACCAATGTACTGCTCCACCTGCAGATAACAGTGAAAATGTGCTGCAGTAGGTCACACTGTGGGTAAACCAGCTTTAACAGCTGCTTCGGTCACCTCATATAACTTGATTTTATTTTTACATATACAAAAGAACTTAAAAATATTTCCGGTCTGAAGTACTTCTTGCACTTTTGGTATAAATTCTGTCCGTTCTGGTATCTGAGGTGAGCGAGGGCTGCTGTAACCGAACGGCTGGTAATGAGGTGTTGGCTGCCCGATGGGGCTGCCGGCTCCGGTGGGCAGTTTCTGACCAAAACTGCCATCAGTAAGGTGAGTGGCCGCTGTCAGTGCTCTACCTGACCGACATGTGTGACCGATGACCCTGATGGCATGCCTCAGGTGGCTCTGGGAACAGCCACCATTGACCAGGTGACTGACACCACTCCCCAAGACCAGAGCAAGTACTGCAAGCGCTGCGGTGACCCACACGCCTCAGGAGACAGGACCCAGATAGCTGGCACACTTGGGATGAGCCGGTGATGGCTGCTACGGTCTAACACCACAATAAATCTGGTTGCAGTGCTCCACGCAGCAGATCAAAAGCTTCGTGGCAGCATGACGCAGAGCACAGACTCTGTGTGAACTTACTCATCCAGTTCAAATTCGTTAACTCGGTAGGCTAACTTGACACCAGCAGGCGCTACACTGGGCCAGGTGGCCTCTGTCCTCTGCCATAGGAGCACAAAGCCAGCGTAAGCGCTGCACCCCCATGGCATGCTGACAGAAACGCAACCGTGTCCTCACAGCTGATCCCAGTCACACCTGTCTCCACCACTTGTTCAAAGTCAGAAGATGGCTTCTTAGTGGGGCTACTGTTGTCCTGTTCACAGAGACCTACAGTTGCAAACTGCACCTGAACATCAGAGCTACATTTACCTGCTCCAAGTAATTCTCCGACTGCTTTGACGGTCAGTGGAGAAACTAATACAGGCTATGGCTGACATGGAAAAATAAAAGAGAGAGCTTGGAAACAAGTGATAGGGACGTTTTGAGACTTCAGTTTCAGAAATGGCTTTAAAAGGTAAATGCCAGAGTACTACACTGTAGCATCTAATCACTCCTTATGCAGAGTCACTTAGAAAACAGCTGCTATAAAATGCTAAGCATTATTAGCAATTTGCATAACACTGATAATTTTCCAAGGCAATGCACAGCAGACTCTATTTTAGATAAAAAGCGCTTTATCATTCCACTGTTACAAGGTAAAAATTCAGACATTTTTTTGCTAGAAGACCTATACATTATATGCATGGTTTAGTATTTTGACTATGAGAAGCGCTACATCAGCATGGAAACCCAGTCTTCTGTTCACAGCAAATGGGCTTCCATTCAAGTGTAAGTTGCTATGAGTATTTCATATGTATTTTTAAATTTGGAAGATATATCCAATGTTAGATTTTTAAATTACTGAATGCCAGCTTGCTTAACAAAAACATAGATTCAAGATGAAAAATGTTTTGCCTATACTCGATTTCATAATTTCAATATACTAGTTATATCTTCTGCTAAGATGACCTTAAAGAATTTATTTTCCCACCTTTATATTTACATGCAGCCACATTTACAGTTTCACAGATATATTAATAAACCTCTAATTTCTAACCAGACCAATTTTGGAAAAAATGAATTTAAAAATATCTTCGAAAATGACAGCACTACTTGCAGAAGTGGGCAGGTGACTCTGGCAGGTGTGTTTTGAACTTTTTAACAAAATAAAAGCATCAACCACCTGAGATGTCTTATGTGAGGGAGCAGCTCCTCAAGTAAGGAGTCTGACTGTAAGGAGATACTTTAAATTGTATAAAGCAATTAAAGAATGGGTAATAAGCATTAAAGATCCCAGGCTAAATGAACTTCATTCTCATACAAGTCCTGTGTCCCACTAAAGCTCCTTCCTTGCCTACGCAAGAGACAAGATACAAAATAATACCCCAAACTAAAAGTGCACGTTGAGAAATTGTTTGCGGAGAGCTGCACCACAGTAAGCACCATCACTAAAGGCATAGGGGATCAGAACCGAGCACATCTAGCAATGACCACATGGTTTCAGCACTTACAGCTCTTCCAGCATGGCTGAAGTAAGTTCAGAGGCATGACTACCCACACGCCACTTCTCTGCCGACGTTGACAGCACAGGTGACAAGTACTCAGGATGCCATAGGAGGTATGGTACAAGCTCCTGGGGCATCTTACATGGTTTATTGGTGGGTGCCAGCACGTGCACACGGACGTAGCCCCCTTCCCATATTTTCCGTTCAGGAGCCCTGGGGACTCACTCGGTCACTTACTTTGGGACACCTCTCCTCTGTCATCACCGCTCTGCCTCTTACACTTGCCTCCGCCACAGCAGTCCCCGGAGTTTTTGTTTTGTGTGCCAGGACAAAAACAAACACAAAGCCCAGAATAAAGGGAGGATGGG